GTTGAGAGAGAGATGCTTTGCACCTGCTCAGAGACATTTTTTTTTTAAATTGAACTGGCTCAGAGCCTTGATGCTGCAAACAGATGTTGGGGGGGATGGCATGATTTGCTGCCTTATTTTGGTATTCTGCTTCCCTCTCGTTCTTGTGTAAGCCTTTGGCTTCCCACACAGGGCTGCAACAACTGGAACTCAAATTATGGAGAGAGATTCCTGCTGCCACCCCAGGACCCGTGACAATCACAACGGTCTATTGTGTGCTACGGTTGCCAAGGAGAATAACAATTTGTGCACTGCGTACTGGGTTTCTGATTCTGAACAGCACCGGGTGGAGATGTTGATAATGCAGATAAGGTCACGTTCAGAGGAAGAAGGTAAGGGACAAACCACAAACCACATTTAAAGTTTTTGCAGGGACGACCCTGCTGGTAAATGAAATTTGGGGATGAAGAAACGCATTGAATTCCATATTCTTTGTGGCTTCACTCCCAGGTCACACATCTTGCCCCTACGTGCCACACCCCTCCAGGCTCCGCCCCTTACCTGTCAGATAACACCTTAGCCACATCCCCAGGCAACTGGAGCCAAAGGCAGGGGCATCAAAAGAGTCAAGATGGTGGCTGTGACTGTGCAATTGAAGCCCCACCCCTTTTTTATATAATGTGGAGCACAAATCCATGTTTACCGTATCGGGGTTTAATGAAGAAGCAATAATGGGAGGGGATCACTAATCTAAGGTTTATGGCAAGGCGTTGCACACGTTAAAAGGTAAAACTACAGAAAAGGCCAGGAGTGTCTCTGCAGAGGAATGAGTCAAAAAAGTCAAGATGGCTGCATGTACATAAAAAGGGGAGGAGCTTCAGCAGCAGCCATCATCTCAACTGCATTGACACTACAGACATGGCTGAAAACCCCATTCACTTGGTGCGACGTGTAAAGCCAATTGTACAAACTCTGCACATTCTTACACTTTCACACGCTCTGCTGCAGTTGCACATTAGTACAAGGTGCTTGAGCTATGCTGTAATTCAATTCATTTTGCTCTAGCTGGGCACAGGATCAGCAATTTTTCTTCCCCACACACTGGGGTCACACTTTAATTTTTGCAGCCTGACAGGGGACTCAGGACATATGACGAAGGGAAAAAAAAAACCCTAGAATGATAGGTGATGGTTGTGGTTGACGGCAGGCTCAGTGTTACAAATGGATTTTAAAAGTCATCAGCTGTTCAGTCCCGGCAGTGTCAATTTTGGAGGCAGGCAGAAGCGATGCCCTGCAGCTATCAGAGGTTTTGAAGCAAACTCTTCAGAGGAGCATCCCTGAAAATGCAGTTCCCGGGTGCTAAGCAGCTGACATTATTAAATAGATAAGTACAGGGTCTCAAGAGAAGATTTGTCAGATTTAATTTTGACTTTGTGTAGCGTCTTCAATTTCTCTCTCTCTCTCTCTCTCTCTCTCTCTGTGTGTGTTTGAGAGAGAGAGAGAGAGAGAGAGAGAGAGAGAGAGAGAGAGAGAGAGAGAGAGAGATCCAGAGGAGGAATAGGTCACTTTTTCCCAATTAATGAGAACAAACAGCAGGTTCCCAACTGAGCAAAAAGCCAATATTAGCAGGGCAAGGTAGCACTCACTTTGCCTTCCCTGCTGTTTCTTTAGCTGCCTTCCAAAAGCAGCTTGGGTTTTTAATTCCCCCTCCTTCCATCACTTGCAAAGACACTTTGATGATGGAGAAGAGACCTTCCAGGTACTTCTTCTTGATTTCCATCATAAAACATAGAATAATAGGGTTAAAGGGACTGAGGAGGTCTTCTAGTAGTCAACCCCACTACTCAAGCAGGAGAACTTATACCATTCCAGACGAATGGCTGTCCACTCTCTTCTTAAATACCTCCAATGATGGAGCACCCACACCTTTTGAATGAAAACTGTTCCACTGGTTAATTGTTCTCACTGGTAGGAAATTTCTCCCTAATTCTAGATTGTTTCTCTCCTTCGTAAGTTTCTATCCATTGCTTCTTGTCCTGCCTTCAGGCACTTTGGAGAATAGGTTGACCCCCTCAATTCTCTGTGACAACCCTTCAAATATTGGAAGACAGTAATTATATCCCTTCCCAATCCTTCTCTTCATTCGACTGGGCATACCCAGTTCCTTCACCCATTCATTGTATGTTTTAGCCTCCAGCCCACTAATCATCTTTATTGTTCTCTGCGCTCTTTCTAGTGTTTCAGCATCTTTTTTGTACCATGGTGACCAGGATTGGGGGCATGAATAGAGTGGTAGTATAGAGTGGTACTGTCACTTTACACGATCTTGAAATCACCAGCTGCTTCCCTGCCAAGGAAGGCCTCGAACTCAGGGCTTCCAAATTTCTAGGCCAGCACTTTCACCATACCACCAAAGGGGCTCTTATAAAAAGACGTTTCTGCTTCATCTGGTGATAGAAAATCTAAAACCTTATTTCTTTAAAAATTCAGCTGGTCCAAGAGGAAAATGTTGGGGGGAAAGACAATGGTGCATTCCTGCATTTGAAAAGACTTGAGAACTCTGGTTTGAGGAATGGAATACAGTCTTTAAACTAGAGAAATCGCGTGATGGGAACTGCCCTTGCTTTGAAAGAAACTTCCACTGGGGATAACGTGTCATAAACATTATAAGAAATAATGTTTCCGCAAAATAAACTCTGATAGATCTGGCAAGCTTCAAACCTGCTCACCTTTTTTTTTTTTGTCTAAAGTCAGGAGCTGAAGAGAATCCCCTGATATTCTTTAAACTGCCAGCACCATCTTGTGGTCGAAAAGGAGTAAAAGAATAACAAGAGTACCAGAGATGGAAGGGACCTTGGAGGTCTTCTAGTCTAACCCCCTGCTCCAGCAGTAAACCCTACACCAATCCAGACAAGTGGTTGTCCAGTCTCTTCTTAAAAGCCTCCAGTGCTGGAGCACTCATACCTTCTGATTAATTGTTCTAACTGTCAGGAAGTTTCTCCTTAGTTCTAGGTTGCTTCTCTCCTTGATGAGTTTCCATCCGTTGCTTCTTCTCCTGCCTTCAGGTGCTTTGGATAATAGGTTGACCCTCCTCACCTCAAATATTGGAACACTGCTATCATGTCTCCCCTGATCCTTCTTTTCACTAGACTAGACATACCCAATTCCTTCAACTGTTCTTCATATATTTTACCCTCCTGCCCTCTAATAATCTTTTGTTGCTCTTTTCTGCACTCTTTTTTAGAGTCTCAACATCTTTCTTATAATAGTGACTAAAACTGGATGCAGTATTCCAAATGTGTTCTTACTAAGGCCCCATTCCTGCATGGCAATTTCATCTTCAGAATTTTTTTCCATTGACACCGACGGAAAGTGTCACGTGTAGGCAAACGTACTGTGAGAATTCAGAGGAAGAGTTCACCCTTCCTCTCTATACGTTTTGCCATCCCCAAATCCAAAAACTACCAGTCTGGGTAACAATGGAACTGAGTTGTAAAAAAAAACACAAAATTCAATTCTGTCAGTGGGAATTTCACTACAAACCCTCCTCTCCTCTCCAGGAAAATAACCATCCTTTGGAATAGAATGTAGTGGGATGGCTGATCAGAAAAATCGATTCGTTCCTCTGCAAAAAGAATACTGAATCTGGAAGTAGCCCTTGCTGCAGGGATTCTAGGTGTGTTTGAAAAATGGGCTTGATGTGGATATGTGGTTGACCTCTCTTGAACTCAGAGACATTGCTGAATGACCTGGTTTTGCCACATGAGCCTGGGGAACTCAGAATAGGAGGATAAATAATAATAATAATAATAATAATAATAATAATAATAATAATAATAATAATAATAATAATAATAATAATAATAATAATAATAATAATAATAGTAGTAGTAGTAGTAGTAGTAGTAGTAGTAGTAAAGTTGGAAGGGACCTTGGAGGTCATCTCGTCCAACCCCCTGCTTAGGCAGGAAACCCTACACCATTTCAGACAAATGGCTGTCCAGTCTCTTCTTAAAAACTTCCAGTGTTGGAGCATACACCGCTTCGGGAGGCAGGTTGTTCCACTGGTTAATTTTTCTCACTGTCAGAAAGTTTCTCCTTAGTTCTAGGTTGTTTCTCTCCTTGATTAGTTTCCACCCATTGCTTCTTGTCCTGCCTTCAGGCGCTTTGGAGAATAGCTTGACTCCCTCTTCTCTGGGGCAGCCCCTGAGATATTGGAACACTGCTATCATGTCCCCCCTCATCCTTCTCTTCGTTAAACTAGACATTCCCAATTCCAGCAGCCGTTCCTTATATGCTTTAGCCTCAATCCCCATGGAGCCCATGAAGTGGCTTGCTTGTTTGATTGATTGCTGTTACCAGGGCACGTGTGGGACTATTGCTTTTAATGTTTGTATATTGGGTTTTTATTTTTTGTAAGCCACCCAGAGTCATTGAAAGTGAGTGGGCAGCCATATAAATTCTCCATATGAAACAATAATAAGAAAGGCCAGCGGTAGGGGAGCATGGAGTTTAACAGTCCAGTTTTACATCACTGCACATGTACAAAGAGGCAGGGCTTCGGTTCCATAGTTATTGACCCCCACCCCCACAGACACCCCTCTTTTCCTACCAAATACGAACATGTTACCACCCAGCATTTTTCTTCAACAAGAAAAGCCGTACTCTGAATTCCCCTAGCGGGAAGAGGGAGCTTATGACTGATTTATTGAAATTATGATTTCTAAAGAGATCGAGGGACAGATCCTAGGCAGGATATTCAGACCAGACGGAGCGAAGGCAGAAGGCAGAGCAAGGTCAGCTGGTCAGAACACACAAAAAAAGGAACTGGCTTGGAAAGGAGCATTGTTTACTGATACAGAAGATTCCAGAGATTTGGCTCACCCAACCTCAAGTCGGCATCTCCCCACACCACACAGCAGCCACATCTGGGTTGCCCGAAAGGCACTTGCTTCAAGAACGACGTTGGATGAGCTACGATCTCTCTTAGAGAAGAATTCGCTTATTCTGGGGGGGGGGGGGGGGGGAAGGATCTGCAGAAGCCAAGACTGTTCTTCCTAGCTGAGCCCCACTTCGTTACCGCTGTCTTCCTCGGGCTGAGCCGAGTCCTTTTGCACATCCTCTTTCTCTACAAAGTTGAGGATGCGACGATTGGCTTGGATCAAGTACTGTTGTTGGCGGAAATACACTTTCAATGCTCCCTTGATGGCCACGAAGGCAATGCCACCCTACCAAGAGAGAAGAGAAGGGAATTAAAGGACAGACGGTGGATCGGCCTTCCTCGTTTGGCTGGTCTCCAAGGTTGTCATCTTCAACTTTTACAATCCCAGCTAGCTAAATTTAAAACAATCAAATCAGGATTGCACGGAATAACGGAAACACTCTTAAAGCACGGGTCCCCAATCCTTGGTCTTCAGACCAGGACTGATTGGCAGCATGTTAGGAACCCACCACATAAGCAAGCAAAGCTCCATCTATGCTTGTGTGGGATATAGTATTTTGCGAAACCATTCCTCCTGCCGCTGGTCTGTGGGAAAAAAAAAACTGCTTCCCCCAAAATTGGTCCCGGGGATCAAAAAGGTTGGGGACTGCGGCTCTAAAGAATACCACAGCCTAATTTGAGCTCCAAGCCTGGAGGAACAAAGTGGTGATGTAACAGACAGAAGGAATAAGCTTTCTTGTCTCTTCTATTATTCCAGGGGGAACAGCCACTATCAGACAATGATTAGATAAAGGACATATGAGTCTAAGCCAGAACTGTAACCTGAGAAAGCCTCTCAGGCATGACCTGCCCTAGTTCTCCCTAAGGGAGGTTGGGGGAAAACATATTCCAAGTTGCAAGACTCTATTACAATAGTTCTATTACAAAAAAACCCAGCGTTAGCCAATTTATTTGACTTTGCTTTCCTAACCTGGTTTACCTTGAAGAGCTGATCCCAAATCTTGCAAGTGTAAAGGCGCTTCCTCCCTCCCTTTATCTTTGCGAGAACTAGGGCGAGTCCTATCTGGAATGCTTTTTCAGATGACAGTTCTGGCCCAGATTCAGACCTCTTTTATCTGACCATTGTCTCGGTAATGGCTTTTTCTTGTTTTCCTCAAGTTATTCCCATTACGTTTCTTCAATGGAGACTGCTGAAAGACGACTAGATTTTAGTTGACCTTATAATGTTTGTGTATGTGTGTTTGTGAGGGAGGGGAGAGAGAGAGAGAGAGAGACAGAGAGAGAGAGAGAGAGATGCTAATAGCAAACGACAGGGATTCCTTACTGAATGCAGTTGGACTGCACCGGGACCAGTTCTGGGGAAGGCAACCCAAACCTTTAATGCTGCTAATGGCTTTCTTTCCGTTCATCTCCTGACTCACCAGGATGGTACGTTGGAGGTTGGAATTGACTCTCTGAAAGGTAACCCGGCCCACAAGGTTGGCAATGGTTGGGAACACCAGGGCCCCACACAAGGTGCGTGAGATGGAAAGGTGGTCACTCTGGTAGCGTGACTCGGCCAGAGGTATCGATGGGATTGGACGACTGGTTCCTGAGGAGAGAAAACAGGAGAATAGACCACTCTATAAAGGGACTGGAGTCCCAGATTCCAAGGACTGAACTGCCGATCTCTTGGCTTCACTATAAAGCCTTAATGGGTGGTCTACAATGTTGATTAGAGCCAGCAACTGGTCCTGTTATTCTCCTCTGCAGCAGGTGCCCACCCAGACACCAACACACAGAAAAGATTCTCCTTTGGACATTGGCCAGAGATTCAACCTCGGTGCTCATTTATGGGATTCCTCCAAAACACAAATCCACACTTGAACACACGTACCGAAAACAAAAATCCAACGTTCTAGTCCTTAAGGTGAAAAAGATATGCTTAAAATACACGGACCGTGCCAGGTAGAACGAGACTCAGGTTGGTTGCTTAGACAAGACTTCTTGGGTGCACAGCTGCTTCTCCCTCCCCCCCAAAATGATGCAAAATTATTCCTTTTGCAGGACTTAAAACCCTGGTGCACCATCTCTTGATGTGGATAAGGATGCAGTACACATCGCTACTGATTTAACTCGCTTGCCATGTTTCTCAGTCTTGAAAATGTGTGGACTTCAACTTCCAGAATTCCCCAGTCCTGTTCAACTCCCACGCTGAAGCTCTGTTAAAAGTTGTGGGAGTTGAAGTCCACAGTTTGTCAAGTTGCCAAGGTTGAGAAACACTGCTCTCATGAGTCAAATGCACGGCCAAGGATTATTCTGCTGCACCTTGATTGTTTGACACCTCCCCACTTGCAGATGCCCCCCCCAGGATGCAAAAAAATCAACTCCATCCCCCCCCCCCACAATTCCTGTCCTTATCACTTCAAAGTAGGAGCCCAGAACTCAAAAGAAGAACACACTAACCTGGAACCCAGGAATGTAGGGCCTGGAGCTTGCTAGAATATTTCCGCCACACTCGGAGCACGTAGTCTTCCCAACGGATCATCTTGCCGAGCACCAGCATGACTGGAATGGTGGGCAGCCCCATGAGCAAGAAGAGGGGATCGGCTCGCTCCATCACATCCAGGCCCTTCTTATGGCCGACCACCTGTGGAGATTGAGAGCTGGATGAGTGAGGGATTAGGAGTTGCACAAGCCTTGGAGAGGCTGAGATTCGAGTCTCGGCTGAACAAGCCATGATGGTCTGCTTCACTCGGAATATTAAGTGATCAATCAAGGCTGATAAACCACAATGCTTTTACACCTCAGGCCAAGCCTATTCTAAAACCAGCCTGTTACACGCATGCAATGTGTGATTTCTGTCAGATTGCTGTTTCTGAGCTATAGTGCAACAGGATGGGATCAAAAGTAGCTCTGAGTCTACAGCAGGGGAATTCTGGGAATTGAAGTCCATAAGTCTTAAAGTAGGCCAAGATTGGACACCTTGGTCTACAGTTAATGTGCCGTTTAAATCTAGCTACCTGCTATGTGCAGCTCCAGTCCCGTTCTTTGCCATCTTTTTTCTATTCTATTCGGTGTCTTTTTTCCATTGTGAAAGAAACCCAGTTCTACCTGGTTTTCACCAGGGTTGCTTCAGAGGCAAGTGTGTGTGTGTGAACAGAAATAAGGAAAACAGCAGGCACAGCATTATGATTGAAGCCTGCCTCTTTGTCTCCTGTCCAGAAGATTAATCCTGATGGAGAATATCAATTCTCCAACAGCCTAAGGCTCTGGACTTCACCATGTTCTGCAGACTAACGTAATCATTGGGGGGGGTGTCTCTGTAGGGAGGGCAGCCTTTCCTGCTGACACATCAAGTCTTACCTGCATCACAGTCACAGCTCCATAAGTCACTGCCGACCAGTACAGTGTCCCCACCACAATGCCCGCAGCTGCAAAAGGGCTGACTTTGGATAAAATACGGTCCACTTGCTGCAGGAAATAGACCAGGGGTCCTGCAAAGAGAAGACAAAGCATCCAAAGAAGTCCTCGTGGACCAGAAGCCAGCCTGTACAGCAGTGGCTCCCAATCTTTTCGGCTTTGTGGACGGGGGGCGGGGGGCAGGAGGGGGGATAAGAGGAAATGGTTCCATGTGAGCTTCAGGCTCGCGCAGCTCAATTTACACGAGGGGTGGGCACGTACGCGCACACGTACCCACCGCTCACGCAAATGGAGCTGCAAGCACACGCTTGCCTGCCACTTACACGGCCCAGTTCTGAGCAGGCTGTGGCCCGGGGGTTGGGGACTCCTGCTGTATAGAGCAGAATCCTAAACCAGGAGTCAAAACCCAGAGCCCCCTGCTTCTGTGCCACGTTCAGAAAACAGACTTACAAAAGTTCGAAGTTACGACTGTTCGAAGTTACAACGGCCCTGGAAAAAGCGACTTGTATCTCACACTTACAACCACTGCAGCATTCCCCTGGTCACATGATCAACATTCAGACGCTTGTCGCTTTTTTCAGTGCCGTTGTATTTTCAGTCACTAAATGAATGGTTGTAAGTTGAGGACTACCTGCATAAGTCTCATTGGTCCTGAGCAGTATTAGACCAGGGAAGGAAGAGGGGGGAAAAATCTTGAATCATCCATTATTGGAAAGATCAATAACAGTCATTTGAAGTCTCCAATGTGTCTATTTTGGGCAAGCCACACCAATCTGGTGGAGAAGACAGAGTTTGCAACGACTCTGGAGGAAATGCAGTGTTTATTCAGCACCTGATTCCACTTCAGTGAAATGGGGCCATTTATCCAGCAGTGGTTGAGCCTTTCCTGGCCAGCTCTACACTCACCTACTTTGGGAAAGACGATGCAGTACTCAGTTCCACACTGGGGACAACTCACGCTTCCAATACTGTTGCCCTTTTGCTTCTCATCCAGCCATCGTTGGAGGCAGGCCTGGTGGATCCACTTGGTGGATCCTTTGCAACGACAAGGACAGACCCACTCGGCCGACCGGTCATCGCCTTCGGTAGCAAAACACACCCAGCAATGCCTGGGAGACAAAGAGAGAGAGAAAAAGAAAAAAGAAGCGTTGAAGGAAAGCAGAGTGATCCCTTCCTCCACTTTGTTCTGCTAAATCAAAAGAGCAAGCAGGAAAATCAAAATTTTCCTGTGATAAATGATTGGAGGGAGACATAGTTAGGACTGCAAGGTGTTCAAACCGGTCAGTCCTAGAGGAGATCAACCCTGACTGCTCTTTAGAAGGCCAGATCCTGAAGTGGAAACTCAAATCCTTTGGCCACCTAATGAGAAGGAAGACTCACTGGAGAAGAGCCTGATGCTGGGAAAGATGGAGGGCAAGAGAAGAAGGGGACGACAGAGAATGAGGTGGCTGGATGGAGTCCCTGAAGCAGGAGGCATGAGCTTAAATGGACTCCAGAAGATGGTAGAGGACAGGAAGGCTGGAGGAACGTTGTCCATGGGGTCGCGATGGGTCGGACACGACTTCGCAATTAACAACAACATAGTTAGGAGACTTTTCCCCCCAAGAAGAGATGTAGATCTTGGGTGAAGTGGTGGAGGAAGCCAACTGTATAAGATGAGGTTCTGCATGGCACCGAAACTATCCTGTAAAAGGCCTGCATTTTTTTTACCCTGTTCTGGTTAACTTTGGGCACCTGATGACTGTTGTTTCCAGAAAAAAAATCCCTCAATTGTCAAAAATCTGGCACGGGATTTGACAGCTGCATTGTGCAGTCTTTGTAGAACAGAGTACGCACAATTCTTGGTCAGAACACCTTTGGCTTTTCAATAATATGCTATTCTGCCAAAATAAGGCAGAGACCGGGCAAAAATCATGGAGTTGGAAGGCCTACAAAGATCACTTAGTCCAACCTTCTCCAATGTACAGGAAAACCAATTAAACCATCCTTGAGAGTGTTATCCAGTTTCTTCTCCAAACCCTTGAGAAATGAATAACCTGCAACCTTCCATTTTTGTATGTTATAACCAGGAAATTTTTCTTTATAGTATATTGAAATAAATTTAGGTGGTTGCAATTTCAATATCTGTTATTTCAGATCTGAACTTCTGTGGCTGTAGAAAATAAAATTTGTTTCAATTTCATGGATGTTAAATTGTCCTTCCTCTCACACTAAATATTATGGGATTTTTTTATAAGTCCAGAAAAAAAGAGACAACATTTAAAGGAGAATATTTGCAGCTCAGGGTTGAAACGAGCGGTCCTTGGTGCTCTTTGAGCTTGCTTGTTTTCTTGCAGATGTTTCATTACCCAAACAGACAGTGATTTGGATATGGAGCTGTGCCAAGTCTAAATGACCAACTGGTCTGAGATCAACTTGTACTCTCCCAAAGAGTGGGATCCGCCTCCGGAATCTGCTTCTGAAGCGAACCCAGTTTCTCGTATTAATGAAATGATGCAAAGATTTCTAAACAAACCCATGGTAGTAATTATGTATCTGAATTCTAGTGCTGAAAAATGTTAATATCAAAGCTGGTCTCACAAGTTTGGAACCACACCTTAGGCACAGGATGAAGTTGAAATGAGACACACCCAGCGTGTCCCAGTTTTGCCACACATGGTCTCATGGTTTAAAGTACTACCTCAACCATTTTTACATTGGAAGGTTTTATGTTCCCAAATAACAAGAGTCAATTTGGTCTGGTGGTGAAGACAGGAGGCCAGAAAACAGAAGCCTCTGAGTTCGAGTCCCACCTTAGGCATGAAAGCCAGCAGGGTGACTGTGGGCCTGTCACTTTCTCCCAGCCCAGCCCACTTCACAGGGATGTTGTTGGAAAAAGGCAGGACTATTAAAAAGGTTCACCATGTATAAAGGAGGTGATATCAATCTAATAATAATAATAATAATAAGAGGAAGACTGAGGCTGAGTAGTTACTGAGAGGATAGAGACAGCCTTAACAAACTATCAATATGACATTTGAATTGGGAGCTTTTGTGTTTCACCATTACGCTTTCTCAGCTGAAATGCCAAGAATCGTGGGAATTGAGAGGCAGACATTTTCAGCACAGGGATGTCAGTTATGAATGTCAACAACCAACAGCTATCCAGCTTTGCGGAAAAAAAAAGGTCACACCAATGTTTCTCAACCTCAGCCATTTTAAGATGTACAGTCTGGACTTCAACTCCCAGAATTCCCCAGGAGACATGCACTCATGCTGATAGAGGAAAAGATCTGATTTACAGTGGGAACAACCAAATTACTATCCCAAAGCAGGAGGTGAGATAGAAAATCTCAGGAGAAGATTTGTAATCCCTGGGCCCTCTATTCTATAGGCACAACTGTCCACTACACAACACTTTCTCCATCTGCATAACATGTCCCAAAAGTGCTTTTTCCAAAAGGCAACTTATTTTTTTTTCCTTTCTCCTTTTTCCATTTTGCTTCTCATCCAACTCAGTTCTGAGTTAACTCAAGTTAGAACTGAAGAATGTTCTTGGATGAGAAGCAAAACGTTGTCAAAGGAAACCCCCCCCCAAGAAAGTCCAGTTGCCTTTTTGAAAAAGCACCTTTGGGACAACCAGACCCGACTGATAATCTCCATAGTCATCTGCATAACATGGAATAACTGGAATAACCCTAACCCTCTCCATCCTTCCGTGCTGACTCTTCTTTTGCCTCCAAGCGGTTGTTGCCCAAGTGAGAACTACAGAGCTCAGCGACCAGCATTAAACAGAAACAGAAAGTAGGGCAGATCCAGTTTGATGCAGTGGCTCATCAAGAAACCAGCCGGGAGCCCTGCAATCTAGTCGTGCCCCGGCTGGGTGACCTTGCAACCAGCCCCTCTCTGAAAGCTTGCGGGGCAAATCCCCTCCACATCCTTGCCAAGAAAACTGCAGGGACTCCTCCAACCGTCCCCGCGAGTCAAGGCTGACTCGAAGGCGCACGCCGACGTGCGTATGGCGGATACCTGGCCAGATACCTGGTCTGGAGCCCCGTTTGGAGGGCAAAAGGGCTGCGTGCCGGGCACCTACAAGAGGTCGCCGCCTGTTTGGGGCTCTTTGGGGGAAGGACAGGCGTCAATCAGCCTTCTACACACACACACACACACACACAACCTACGTAGACCCGGTTTGGCTGCGCCACGGCCGTCCGCCATGGTCGGCCAGCCCCGGCTCAGCCCGGCCGGGAAGACGCGCGTCCCGGGCCGGGGAGGCTGACCAGCCCGGCCAACGGGGAGCGCGCAGAGTCCGGGCGTCCGGGTCAAGGACAGGCGCCCCACCCGCCCCAGACGCACCTCTCGGAAGCCTCTTGCGCCGCCGCCGCCGCCGCCGCCATGGCCGTCCCGTGGGAAGGTCCGCCCGCCCCGGCTGTCCCGCTCAGCGTCCCCCGCAGGGCATCGCCGCGCCGAGAAGCGCCGCAGAGGCGCGCGCAAAGCCCGGATGAGCCCGGCGAGGCCGCTCGGCTTGCGCAAGTCCGCGCTCTCGGCGGCGCCAGCCCGGCCCTCCGAGCTTCCGGGCCCGCCTAGAGACGCGCCGTTGGGCCGGCTCGCGCCTTCTTCGGCAAGCGGGCGCCCGCCGGAAGGAGGGTCGGGGAGCCGGGCTCTTGGCAGGCCAGGGGTGGGTGGGTGCGTGGGGGGCGCACAAGCCCCCCTCTCGCCCCGCTTTACCCGGACCCCGGCGCCCCGGGCCAAGGCGGGACTGCCTCTCCCATCGTCCCCTCCGCTGCTGTGCGATGGGGATGATGAGCTTTGGAGTATGTCGCCTGCAGCAGGGCGGGGAGGGCCAGGCGGGTTATGCGAAATGGGGGGGGGAGGGGGGAAGGGACGGATTTTTTTCCTAATATATAGAAACACTCAAGATGTTTTTTGGGGTTTTTTTGGTTTCCAGTTTTGCTTGGTGCGGCTCACTGGACGGGCAAAGGATCAGGAATAGTAGAAGCCGCTACCACAAATTTCAGGGATGAGGTTCCTGAGCCACGGGGGCTCCCGGGTTTGTTGGGCGGGTTTGTTGGACGACAAGTCCCATGAGTCCCTAAACATCAAGGATGGAGGCCACCAGGAGCTTAATAATAATGATGATGATGATGATGATGATGATGATGATGATAATAATAATAATAATAATAATAATAATAATAATAATAATAATAATAATAATAATAATAATAATAATAATAATAATAATA